TTTTCCAACATTTTAGTAAGTTTAATTTTTTTCTTTTCAAGGTTTTTTTCTATATTATTATCTTTAGTTGGTTTTTTGCATTTTCCCCTCAATTTTCATATGTTTCCCTCATTTTTGTTTTATTTTTATTCGATTAATTAATGATGAAATTTTTGCAAAAGTAGTGCACATCCGTGTAGGAATTGGGTAGGAATTACAAATAATAACATTGGGTTGGTAAAAAATATGGTAGTTGGCACATAATCGAAGCTATTGATAATTGAATTTAAAATAATTAATGGTATAGGATCATTGAATTTAATATAACATGTTAATTAGTAATGTTTAGTAGCAATTAATTTTTTATGTGTTTAACTGTATATTTGTTTTTCAAAAATTTTTAGTTTTTTTTAGTTTGAGCAATTAGATTTATATTTTTATAATAAATTTTAACTTTTTCAGCTTAAGTTGATGAAATTGTGAAGGTGGTGTGGTTGCTTATCATGCCACTGATAAAAGTTTGCTATTCAAATAGTTTATCTTAACTTGAACTCTTTTATGGATTTTTTTAAGGGTTGTAAAAGAATTTCAATATTTAATTTATTTATTTTTTGTGTTTTTATTTGTGATAATTGGTGCACATTTGGATTGTATCTATTTATGTTTATAATGAATTTATGAAAACTTGTAGTGAATTATGATATTTTAATTATATTTATCATTCCATGTTTTGTGTATAACTTTTAGAAAATTTATTATTATCATAACTTAAATTAAGTTATGTTGGTAAAGTTCAAGTGTAGAATGAAACCTGCTTAGTATTTAACACTAAAAATTAAAAAAAAAAAAAAAAACAGTGAACCTTTGAACCGGCCGGTTGGACCGGTCGGACCGGTCGAACCGCGAACCGGCCACCTCTCCGGTTCACTGACCGGTCCGAGTTTAAAAACATTGGTTTTCCTTGGCTATTCTAATTCACAAAAGGGATATAAATGTTTTCATCCTCCTACGAGAACCTACTATGTGTCTATGGATGTTCAATTTTGTGAAAATGAGTCTTATTTTTCTGGACATATGTCTGCGGTTCCTTTTCAGGGGGAGATTAAAAGTAGAGAAGATGAAAAATAATGGCTAGGAGAAAAAAGGATATGGATCTTAGGTATAGAGAATGCAAAGGAAAATGGGAATTCCTTAGTTTTAGATGATGGTCAGGAAAATAAAATTGAAACTAATAGTGAGAGACCAGCTCATTTCTTTGAGAAAGGATATTCTAGGAGAACAAAAGATATCACTGTTATGCCTCCTGGTTCTTGTACCTCCCTTAATGATAATACCTCCCTTGATGATACTACCATGCTATCGAATGAATCTTCCAAGATTGACACTAAGGTATGTACTTCTTCTGAAAGTCTTGACTCATATCCTAATATTGATCAGAATAGAAGATATCCTCTTCGTGAACGAAAAGAACCTGATAGGCTTGGTTTTTCAAAAGCTTCCAATGTTTCCTATCCAATTTCTGATTTTATATCCTATCACCGTTTGTCTAAGACAAACTTGACATTTGCTCTTCAGTTGTCTTCTGTATATATGTTCCTAGTCATTTTCAGGAAGCCCTTGATGATCCTAAGTGGAAAGATGCAATGGTAGAAGAAATGATGGCTCTCCAAAAGAATTCTACTTGGAAAATGGTTGAGTTACCAATGGGAAAGAAAACCGTAGGGTGCAAATGTCTCTTGATAGTCAATACCATAGGTTTGAGTGTAGCCTTTTGCAACCAGTCTAGCTTTGTATCTTTCAACTGTCCCATCAGACTTGTATTTGACACTGAATACCCATTTACACCCTACGGTCTTCTTTCCCATTGGTAACTCAACCATTTCCCAAATAGAATTCTTTTGGAGAGCCATCATTTCTTCTACCATTGCATCTTTTCACTTAGGATCATCAAGGACTTCCTGAAAATGACTAGGAACATATACAGAAGACAACTGAAGAGCAAATGTTCCTAGTCATTTTCAGGAAGCCCTTGATGATCCTATGTGGAAAGATGCAATGGTAGAAGAAATGATGGCTTTCCAAAAGAATTCTACTTGGGAAATGGTTGAGTTACCAATGAGAAAGAAGACCGTAGGGTGTAAATGGGTATTCAGTGTCAAATACAAGTCTGATGGGACAGTTGAAAGATACAAAACTAGACTGGTTGCAAAAGGCTACACTCAAACCTATGGTATTGACTATCAAGAGACATTTGCACCGGTTGCCAAGATGAACACTGTTCGTGTCATATTGTCACTTGCAGTTAATTTAGACTGGACTCTACGACAATTTGATGTGAAGAATGCCTTTCTTCATGGTGAGTTGACTGAGGAAGTTTTCATGGATCCTTCTCAGGGGTTTACACTAGAAGAAGGAAAGGTGTGCAGACTGAAAAAGGCATTGTATGGATTAAAACAATCACCAAGGGCATGGTTTGGAAGATTGAGTCATGCCATGGAGGAGTTTGGATTCAAGCAAGCTTCAGCAGATCACACGCTGTTCTATAAACGTAACTACAATGATATTACCGTGCTTCTTGTCTATGTTGATGATATGATTGTAACAGGTAATAACAAAGAAGAAATTGAGAACTTTCGAAGTTACTTAGCCAAAGAATTTGAGATTAAAGATTTGGGGACTCTTAAATATTTTCTTGGCATTGAAGTATCACGGTCCAAGCAAGGACTCTTCCTTTCCCAAAGGAAGTATACATTGGAACTCCTAGCTGAAACTGGTATGTCTGCTTGTGAGCCAATAGATACTCCGATTGAAGTGAATCATGGCCTAGCCTTCTTTTCTGATCAGATTCCAACAAACAAGGAAAGATATCAAAGGATCATGGGTAGACTAATCTATTTAACTTATACCAGGCCAGATTTAGCATATGCAGTCAGTGTTGTTAGCCAGTTTATGCACAATCCAAGTGATCAACACATGAATGCTGTTAATCGAATCTTGGCTTACTTGAAATCAGCTCCAGGAAAAGGTGTCTTATTCTCCAAACACGAACATTTTGATGTGGTTGGATATACAGACTCTGATTTTGCTGGTAGCAAGTTGGATAGAAAATCAACTTCTGGATATTTGGCTTTTGTTGGAGGCAACTTGATGTCTTGGAAAAGTAAAAAACAGAACGTGGTTTCATTATCTAGTGCAGAGGCTGAATATAGAGCTATGCATCATGCTATCACAGAACTCTCTTGGCTGAAAATTCTCTTAAAGGAGATTGGGTTTAGTCCAAAAGGTTCTATGGTATTATTTTGTGATAATATGGCAGCCATTAAGATTGCAAATAATCCTATTCAACATGATCGGACAAAGCATGTTGAAATTGATAGGAACTACATCAAAGATAATCTTGATTTCGGGACAATTGAAATTCCCTATACAAGAAGTTCAGATCAGTTGGCTGATATTATGACTCATGCAGTTATTAGTAGCTTATTCAATGCATCTCTATCCAAGTTGGGCATTTGTGATATCTATGCCCCAACTTGAGGGGGAGAGTTGGTAGGAATTAGCTGTAATTAGTCTAAGAATACAGCTATATAATTAGTCTAAGATAGCTGCTGTAATTAGTCTAAGAATACAGCTATTAGTCTAAGATAGCTGCTGTAATTAGTCTAAGAACACAACTGTATATAGTCTGTAATTACAGACTATATACAGCTGTACATGGCTGACCATTTAACCTAGTTACTTGTATAAATAGATCAATGAAATATGAAAAACATACTTTTCAGCATAATTAATAACTTAAAGTAATCAAGCGAAAGCAACCCTTTGAGGGTCGTGAATATTGTCACCATACGATTTAGTGGTACATGTTGGTTTGCTGCACTGTATATAAGGATATAGCTGATAAACTGAATATATTTTCCATGGAGAAAAATCATAATTACATGTAAATTTCTGCTTACATTAGAATTGTACGTTCTACTCCTGAACAGGGAAAAGAATATCAACAGATCCTGGCTCAAATCATTGAAGTACTTTCTCCACATTCATGGAAGGAGTACTTACAGTTCCATATCCACCAGATGCTGAACAGGCAGAAGATCTACAATTGCAAGAGGCCCTGGAGTATTCCGTAGGTAATCTTCAAATTTATATCCCAACTCGAAAAAGCGATCATCTGGAGCCAAAGAAGTCGCTGGTGAATCATCAAATACATCTTGTGATATCTGCATGGAAGAAAAGAAAGACGTGATACGGTCAAATTTGGAAGCCGCTTTCACTGTTTCGTTCCATTGTAAAGCCAGACATGCTCGCGCTAAAATGGAAGATATTATTTGTATTGTAACTTCTCTGAATTCAGACTGCAACTACATCATCGAACCTGCTTTTGCTTGAGGTATAATCCCTGAAACAGTTATTGCTCTATCGGAGTGCGGGAAATATTCTTGATTCTTAAAAATTTTACTCCGTATGAGAATTGCTCGGCCATGCTGGTGAATGATACTGAAGAAGGGATCATTAGGCAATCCGCAATCCTGATGCCCCATCTGCCCACTATTCTTCAGTGCACGGTGTTAGGTTCCGAAGCATCAGGGGTTAGAGCGTGCAGAATTTCGAAAGCTGAGACTGGATGAAAGAGGTAACAATGATCTAATTATGGTGCTGTCCTCGCAGGGGATGAAAGAGAAATGTACGCTCATCCCTTGAAAGGAAAAAGGAAAAGGTTGTGTCATCAAACAAACAATGTAAGAAGTACGTCGATAATGAAATAGTACTAGTATCATTTACTAGAAGAAACATGGCCACTTGTTTTTGCGAGAACTTGGACTAAAATGAAAAGGCCAAAAGTGTAGTGATGAGAATTACTATATTCAAAAAGATTGGGGGAGCCATATGAGAATCAAGTAAAGATGAGGGGGGGAGGAACATGGCAATGGCATCATCATTCCTTCATGTGGCGCCAAATAACGTAAAGGTACAACTGAGAATAGCGTAAACACAAATTTGGGATTTTGCAGATATAAATAGCGAAATTTGAAAGGCCAGAATTAGTCGGAGCTCAATCTGCAAACGTCTCCGATGGCTCTCTTCTTCAAATCCGACCTATTTTCCCCCCTCGGCCTCGCTTCTCTTTCTTTCCGATTCCCAACTTCTTCTTCCTCACTCTTCGATTCCCGAATCATTCCAGCAACTAAATTGTCCACCAAACAAACCGCAATCGCCTGTTCTTCACTCAATTCCGGGAATGACGAAAACTTCCAAGACTCCTCCAATTCCAACGGATCATTGAATAACCGAAGATTATCCAAACAGTCCTCTTGGGAAGCCAAAGACGAGGAAGGCAACGATTACCTTTACACGCTGGGTAAAGAGTCGGATAATATGAACATTGCTGTTGGAGCTAGAGCTGGCATCATCGATGACCTCTTCGCCGGCAATTTCCTTGGGAAAGATTGTAATTTGCTTCATTTTGTTGTTCTTCAAGAATTTTAGTCTATTTTTTTTGTTGTTCTGAAAATATCTGGGAAATTTGATGATCATTTTTATTTGAATTTCAGCTGATATTGTGTTCGATTACAGACAGAAAGCTACAAGGTCGTTTGAATATCTGCAAGGCGATTATTACATTGCGCCGCTCTTTATGGTACGTTAATATAGTATTCTTCGACGTAATTTATCTGGCAAAATTGTCCTAACTATGTTGTTTAATTTATCATAATTTTTGAACTAATTCTTTTTTCCCACTGTGGCAGGATAAAGTTGGTAAGTTCAGCAATTCGTCGCAAATGGTAAAAAAGAAAAAAAAAACTGAATTTTAGCTGCATTGAGAAGTGAGAGTGATAAAATTTGGTACTCTCCTCCTTTTTTTCTTAAAAAAAAAAAAACTAGTGGAAACAGTCATCTATATCTCCACTTGTGGTCATAAGTCCTAAATGGTATTCCTGCGTTGTCCTGATACCTGGCTTATTATCCGCACAGTGTGCCATATCGCGAAGAACTACCTTGCTCATCTGCTCAATACGAAAGTACCACTCATCCTAGGCAAGTATATAGTACTTTGTTACCTCAGTATCAGAATCTGTGATATGAGTTAAAGATTTACCAATAACCAATTTAAAAACTTATATTGTCGCTGCACCATGCCTTGTGCTGCTCGTGTTTTATTTGTTCTGAACGTTATAGGCATTTGGGGTGGAAAAGGGCAAGGGAAGTCATTTCAAACTGAACTCATTTTCCGGGCCATGGGAGTTGAACCTATTATCATGTCTGCTGGTGAACTGGAATCAGAAAGAGCTGGTAAGATGGTTCCTGACAGTTCCATGTAATACTGTGTGCATCTAATATCTAAAATGTTTATTTATTTTCCCTTTTGAACAGGAGAACCAGGAAAATTGATACGTGAACGGTATAGAACTGCTTCTCAAGTGGTTCAGAACCAAGTTAGAAGCTTTATTACTTTCACTACTGGTATATGTATATATAGGATTGTGAATTTATTAGTTGCCATACTCCATTTTATACTTCTTAATCGACCTCCAGAATGTAGCCTTCCCCTTCTGCTTCCTAGCAAAATGCATTTCTTTAAAAGGTTATTGTGCTGCTGTTGATTGAATGAGTATTTAAACAGATATTAGCAAAGGAGAGCAAGGAAAGATAGACAAATTTGGATGATCACTAATATGAGTTGAAATATTTCATCTGATGTCAAGTCACTTGAACAGAGAAAAAGTTGATAGATATAATGGAAGGAATGTTCAGCGTTATGAAGGCATTGAATTTGAGCTGATTCAAGAGTATTTTTGTTGCTTGCTTTATCCAAATATTTAGAGCAGCAAACCTTCTCTTCCATCTTATAGAAGCTTTATCAGCTAGAAAAACACACCTATTAAAATCATAAAATACTGTCAGAGGTTTTTTTTTTTTTTTTTCAATTCACTCAACTTGGTTTAGAAATAAAGTTCAATTTGGTTTTATTTGGATTTTGGCATATGCAGGGGAAAATGAGTTGCTTGGTTATCAATGACATTGATGCTGGTCTTGGAAGATTTGGTGAGCCAATCTATAAGTTGGATAAGCAAATCTATTTCCATTTTCTCTTTCTCCTTATCTTTCTTATGCAATACGCCTTTGTGTTCTTTTACCCACCTTTTTGAGTTTATAAAATTGCCTCCATTGATCATCATGTTATATTGTGATCTTCTGAAGGTAATACCCAAATGACTGTCAATAATCAGATTGTTGTTGGGACACTGATGAATTTGTCTGATAACCCTACGAAGGTAAGTATTGGGCAAGTCTGGAAAGAATCAGATGTTACAAAGAGGATCCCTATTATTGTTACCGGAAATGATTTTTCAACAATATATGCGCCGTTGATTCGAGATGGAAGGATGGAAAAATTTTACTGGTACTTGTAATGCTTACGAGTTTAAATTTTGCGTTATGCATTTTAGAAATGATTGCTTCATTTGATTTGGCATGTTGATATATATTTCAAGGATATCACAGAAGAATGATGGTTAAACCTGTATTAACATAGCAGGCCGTGTAATTCCATCCAAATATACTTGAGCATATGAGGTCTTACTGAAATAAGATGGACTAGTTTATAAAACCTTGATTATAAAATATATTGTTTATTAGATACTGGTTTCTATGTTCTAATGGTAGACAATTAGTAATCAAATCCAATGAAAAATTTTGTATGTTGAAGCTATGGTTAATCTCTTTTAAGTACTTGACCTAAGGATTGTTGCGTTGCTCAGAATTCAGTCAAGTACCTCCGCTTTCTGAAACAAAAACCATCATGAAATGATTAGAAGCTACTCAAATCGATGAACTTGAACTCAGAAAATGAGGTAGTTAGGTGTCATTTACTTGAATTGACAGATGAGTTTCTTAATAGTTCTTCACCAATAAAAATAGCAAGCAGAATTAGCTTATTGGTAGAGCAGCAGATGTCATGTTTGGAACTTTAACAAATATTGCAGTTCAAATTCTGTACTAATAATTGGTTGCTTTTGAGGTTGCTATTTGCTAGTGCAAAATTACTGTTGACATGCTATTGTGATTACTACGTGACAGCTAGATGTTAGTACTCAGTTTTGTTATTTCATATGTTGTGTGCTTTTTCCCAGTTCCCTTCTCAGATGCAATTTTTATGAACAGGCAGCCCACCCATGAAGATATTCTGAATATTGTTCACAGGATGTATGAGAAAGATGGCATGTCAAGGGATGAAGTTGGAGAGATAGTGAAATCATTTCCTAATCAAGGTAGCTATGAATCTTCATATATGATGAATAAAACTTATCTAGTGCCAAGAACATTTAGTTTGGATTGCTATACATTCTCTTATTATTACCTTCTGACAACTAATTCAAATTTTTGCTTGTTTCCTTAATTAAAGAAGTTCTAGTTAGAATTAGAAGTGTGTCTGCACCGTAATTAAGTTTGGCATAAACTAGATAGATGGTTTATGAGAAGATCCAGAGCAATAACTGTGATTAGAACAGCATTTGCGTTGGCCAAAAGTGTACCTACTAATGAATTTCTTTTGAGTCCTTTAAGGAAAATGTGTTATCTTTGGTGATGTTAAACTTCTTTTGTTCAGAAATTGGACATTCATAATCATACTCAATTATGACACTGAACTGCAATATGCAAACTGGAGGATGTCTTTGTTTTTCTGTTTTTGCTGATCTTATTCAAAATCTACTGGCAGCCTTGGATTTTTATGGAGCTTTGAGATCTCGAACATATGACCGGTCAATCTTAAAGGTGCAAAATATTCAACTGAATTATGTCTTTTTGGTATTTGTACGTTGCTGACAACTCCTGATATTCTTTAAGAACTATCTTGAGCTCTTCACGTATGCAGGTGCGACCGCATCTTGCAATGTATTATACCCCTTCCACTTAGGCTCACTTTTGAGTAATGACTATGAGTGAACAAGTTAATTCTCAAGGGGACATATTCTTTGCATGAATAACCATCTATGCATGTGCTTTCAGACATCTATGCAATATAACTTTGCAATGCTTAATCTATCTAGTCACCAATGAGTAATATACTTCAATACCACGGGAGATGCATTTTGAATCTCTACACTCCAGAGAAATTTTATATCGTCTAACATTTTCACTTAGCAAAAGACTTCCTCAAGGTCACAGCCAGTTGTCTGTCCCTGTTGAACTTACAAATGTTATTATATTCTTTTCTCTGATATATGTGAGACTCTATATCTTTTTCATCTTTGCGTTGCTTTCCCAGATTCAACATATTTTAAAATATTTAGTTCAACTTCTTTTGTTATAGTGGGTTGAGGATGGTGGAGGGGCCGACAACTTGGGCAAAAGACTTTTGAAGCAAAAAAAGGATGGAAAACTTCCAGTTTTTACTCCGCCAAAGGTAAATAATTTTACAAAAGAAGAAAATTGTACTTGAGTTTTTTTGTTTCTCAATTTTTATTTGTCTTGAAAAAATGAGCTGCTAAAATTATCTGGGGTTCTTGCTCAAAAAGCAAACCATAGAAGCTTTACTGGAATCAGGGCATTCTCTTGTCAAAGAACAAAGGCTGATAATGGAGACAAAGCTTTCAAAGGAATACATGAAGAATATTGATGACTAACCGGTACGAACAAATATTCCCCTCGGAAGATAGTAATGGATTATGATACCCTATATAATTTTGTACATGAAGTTCTTTCTGTTGCACCATAAAGGCAAAAGGCTTATGCACACGTGTTTGTTTCTCAAAAAAACGAATCTCAGTGAATGCAGCAACATTCTTTGTACCCATCTCGTTAGGGAACGTAGTATCCTTGCAGAAAACATGGTTATAGTGGGTATCTGTAATGTTTGTTAATCTTATCAAGCTCATGGATTTAGGTGATCAGTTGATTTCCTGATCCCATGATCCTTCCAGAGCACAGCTTTCGTTCCCAGTTCATCTATGTATATGTTGTTATCAGGCGGTTTTGTGCTCTCCATGGAGTTGCATGTACATTTACTGCTATTAAGAAAATAACTGAATTACAGCCTGACAGACCCATGGTGATTTTGAAAGAACGAGCACTGCTATTGGAAGATCAAACGTCGTTATCCAATACTCAAGAAAAGGTGGGCTATCAATTAGATGACAGCTGATCATGACGACTGGATACACGAATGCGACTGAGATTTCTCATTTGTCGTCGTTATGAGCAGTGGAATTTCGATTAAGCACTGGAAAGTGTAGGTATCAACCTAGTGTGGTTCTGATTCATCTAAGTGTTTGCTTATTTAAAATAGCCAAGTCGGAGGAGGGGTCTCTGTCTCTCCCTCGAAGGCATAATGCAAAGCAATACCCTACCTGTTGATACGCTTTTATGATGCAAGGTAATAACAACGCCACATTCAGTCCATATAACGAAAAATATGGACATAGATTCTCAATCATTACGTATATTCTATTCTTGAATAATGCTAACTCCTGTGTTCATTTTTCCAACTTGAAGCCTGGTTTCGGACAATTTGAATCTTATGCCCGTCCACTTGAGATAACCGATCGAGAGAGAGGTCTATTCGATATGGTAGCTGAAAAGCAGAGGAAGAAAGAGAAGCCTGATATGCACATTATTCTCCGAAATAGACATGAAATCATTGACTAAGGAGACTGGCCTTTATCCGTTGCTTTCACTTCCTGTTCTACCTAAGCTAAATAGCTTACGCTTTAGTTAAGGAAAATGATATGCACTCTGCGATTCAATTGTCATTCAACGGTAAATGCAGGCCTAATAATTTTGAGCTTGATTCCAACAAGAACTGCTGAGTGTGCTGAGTTTAAGATGTATAGCGGGAAGCTTTTTATAGTTTTATATGATAATCGAAACGTTATACAAAGTTTCATCCTCTTTTTTTTGAGAATGCGAAGAATGGAATATAAGAAACAAAGAGAGAAAAAGGGGAATTTGAACTCAAGATCTCTCATTTCTGAAGTTTTAACTTTATTCACTAGATCACAACCTCCTTAACAAGTATCATGGTCGTTGCTTGCCAAAACATTGAACTGACCGTCTATCAGTTAGTGCCGAAAGAGAGAAAACTGGAGAGTAAGTATTTTTTTTTCCCTTCTATTTTTCATGTGGGCTGCCAATGCCATGGAATCCTTTGACTTAGCAGAAGAAACAAAAACACTACTATGAATGGCACGGCACACTCGATAATCAAACTAGCGTACAAATTGAAGTTTCCAATGCACCTTTTGTGAACAGAAAAACAAAGGGTGGGGAATATTAGAAGACTTTGCCCACCACTTGGAAAGTGGGAACAAAGGCCACTTAGCAATAGTTTTCAATTTCATTACCATTCACGTCTAAGCGCAATGTCTTGTTTCATGATTGAACCCTACAATTCGAAATCAACCTCCTAAAAGCTTTCTAAGAGCACATATATATGATAATAAAATTTGATTAGATTCAGCTTGCTTAGGCTGTCGAATTTGGAAATTGTAATTAAAATTAACAGGGTTTTCTTGTCTTGTTTAAAGGGGATCCCACCTAAACATTTTTGTGCTCGATACCACATAAAGGGTTTTCAGTGATACCACATACTATCGTCATTTATATTTAAGAGACAGTTTTGTGCTCGATTCATAAGCATTTAGAAACGAAGATGCATTGATCGACAGGCCATCAAGAAGTGAGGAAAGTTTGGTGACCTCAAAAAAAGGTTGTAAAAGGTGAATTGTCTGGCACTAAAATTGCTAGTTGAAGTTGACGAAGCAAAAACGAAAGCCATTAGCCATAGCCCATTGAAGTTGAAGGATTTAATTGAGCACCCATATGAATAAACTATGCTTATGCTCTACGATCTGGTTGGTCCAGTCTTGATGTTATTATTGGACTCCACCAGACTAGAATTGTCAAAGAGTGAAGAAACTGATGACTTGAAAAAATCAAAATTTTGCGTATGTTTTGAATAATTTATTGCATCGATGGGTCCCATAAATTGATGTCTTATTAAATCATTGGGACCCTTTGGGAGGAGGGCATGCTTGAGCAGCAAATTAAAGAATTATTGAGTGTTCACATTTCCTTGAGAAAAATTAATTGAAAACTGGTAATGGTCAAGAGCACTCTAAATTTCTTTAGAACTTCAAAACACGTATAACATGAAATATTAACTGAAAGATCAGGCCTCTTACCAAAAAATACATATTGACTACGACGGATTAACAAACTAATAATACAGCAATCGTACGATGGGTTAAAGAGGAAACATTAGTGGAGGATACTTTGGGCTTTCACAGAAATGGTTGTAAGTGCTAATCTCATTATTACAGACCACAAGAAGATCGTATTATATGACTAATCAAGAATAGTTGCTAGTATTGATGAGTTTTATTCGTTTACAAAATCATTCAAGCCTCCCCGTATGATTTTTTTTTCTTTTTTGGGTAAGTGAGAGATTTTGAATTCAAAACCTTCTGATTACAATTCCTTTTCCCTTATCATCTAACCCAACCCTATCCACGTATGATCATTGTTAAACCATCACTAAGCGAAAGGTAAGGTGGTCAGGGCTCACAGGCCACTGCGAGAATCTTTCTTTAGATTTCCCTAAGCATACTTGGATCCCATATACAATTAATGCATGTTTACAAGTCAAGAATGACATCAATGCTGTTCTGCACTAACATAACTCCCCCTCTAATGGTAGTTGAAGAGTAACAATAGCTAAGCACTGAGAGGCACCTGTGCAACCATACAAATATATTGGAGGAGATAGTTGAAATGCTATGCTTCAAGACTTTGTTTATTTCTTTGCATGCAAAGACCATGAAATGGACTCAAAGCTCACACACTATCAATTAGAAATCTAAACAGCAAAAAAGAAGAAAATGATTAATGAACAATTGAAAGCAAGATTTGAAATATTATTTGAAATAATTACTGTAACACTTTTTGTGATGTGATGTCTATGAGATAGAAAGGTAATTGAAAATATAAAAAGGTGGTTGAGAAATGTGTTTATGATTCAAGCGAAATATTATTTGAGATATTTGTGCTATCCAAACACCGGTCATATGACAAAACTACCCATCCTTCCATGATCATCCTTAGAGATGGTTCATGCATGTTTGTCTTTGTCTGATTGGCTGGAAGTTTATTGTCATCAACTTCAAGTTCAAAACCAAAGAGAATATATGAGTTTTGAGAGTCAGTCAATATGTAAGATGAGCAATCTTTTTCATTCCCCATGATCCAAAAAAAATGAAAAAAGGCCCTCAGATTATTAACGTTAACCGCGTGGACTAGACGGCTACCGACACTCACCAATGTCTATGGGAATTGGAGAGGCCAACATTTTCTATAATGGTTAATCAAACTAGACCACGTTAATTAACATTATTGTTGTGATTCCGTAATTCATGAATCATGATTAGGTAGGTAGTCCTGCAGCTTTGCTGCTATCTTTGGAAGCTCAATTAGGGGAGGGCTATAGGTAGGTAGTCCTGCTACATGTTTTTCTCTTCTCTTTTTCCCTCCTAAACCAGCTTTGAAGATGTGTTTGTGTAACGTTGCTCAGCACATTGAATTTCCAGGGCAACTTTGTACTCATTTAGCACTTAAACTAAAACAGGTTCTAAAAGCTAAAAGATCCAGCCACAAACATAATCATAATGCTGCAGCATTTGGAAAATTTTAAATGCTTCTTTCTTTCTTTCATTTTCCGTGACAAAGAAAAAGCACAACATCATGCATTTTCAAATCTAAACAACCCCAGTTAAAATAATTAATGTTTCACAAATCCATAGTTCGAAGTATTAAAATCTTTCATCTGGTTGATCTGAAACCGAAATTCGATTGTTGTAAAAATTGTTGAAACTAGAGTAATCAACCTAAATGTTAGTAAAAGGTAGGAAATGCTCAAGACAAAAACAATAATGTGCTTTTGAGAAAGAAAGTGTAGAGTAGGCAAAAAAGAAAAGAAGAAGAAGACGAAGAACTCGAACTCGGGTTTTGTTGATGAATTCCAAACTTAAGGTTGTGTTTGGATTGCATTTTCCGTCATTTTTTATGGAAAAATTACTGTAGTGATTTGATATATATGAGGGAAAAAGGTGATAGGGAAATGTGATCACGAAAAATGATAATATTTTTCGACGGAAACAAGCAATCAATCAAGGCCTTTAAACACCGCAAGATAAATCAGTTTCCCCTATTAATCCGTTTCCATTTCAGGCTTTTTAGCAAGGAAGCCAATTATGATTTATGACAGAGAGCCGTCTCAAATCTTGGGGTAAAAACTTTCCAAGAGTCAAACCGCCCCCAGTGACAGGCAGACCAATTGTCTCCTTAACTTTCAATCTTATCCACTAACTTCATGACACGTTTCCCCGTCCATGATCCATCAAAGTCAAAATTGATGGGAAAAGGGGCAGACCCATAATTGTAAACCAAGCCCCCCCACCCAAAACTGAATAAACAAAAAACTCCTCGTCCTGCATTAACCACGTGTCCTAACATATATTTTTATGAATATTGAAAGAATTGCATGAATGGTCCTTCCTTTATCCTCTACAAATTAATTTTACTCTTTCGGTCTACAAATTTACAATTATGCAGCTTGATTTATGACACAATCCAGATGTAGCAATTCGATTTTGGACCAACCTTTTGCGCCAAAAGATCAATATGAAAAAACAAACTTCTTCATGACACAAAAGGCGTCCGTCTTAATCTCAAATAAGTGAGAGATAAAGGGATTAATTCACTGAAAATTTGTAAAGGATTAAATCGGAACAAAAAAGTGAATAAAGATGACGTTTAAGATGAAAAAAATGTCCTAATAAACTATTAGACAAATATTTAAATATCAAAAAAAATACATTTATACAACACTAATAATCAATGACATTTGAGAAATGAGTGCCCAATAGCAAATTTGCCTGTCTAACAAGTTCACCGACTCGTGTGTTAAATTTGGCACTACTATATAGTAGGTAGAACTAAAGTATTTGCGTGTGAATTACGGCAAAAGTAAAAGATTGTGAAAAGGAAGGACTGGCGCTGCAAATTAGACCGTATAGAAGAAAAAGTTGATAGTTATAGTTAAAAAAGCCCACCGCTGCTGTCACGTGTCGGTGAAAAAAGATTCCAATAATATTTATTTTGAAAAAAAAAAGACAATCTAATTAGTATATGAATGAATTATGAATTATCTCCACACCTCAGAGCCCGTTGGCCTCACCAACGCAACGGTTAAAACATAAACTCAAGACGGACGGACAGACGGACTGACTGACTGACTCCCCACTCCCCCAACTTCAAAAATCCACACACGACACGCCACAAGAGTGACCATTACTCCTTCAACAGAGCTCTCCCCCGCAAAAAAGAAAAAGAAAAAGAAAAAGAAAAACTTGTACTCGAAAGCTTCTTTCTTTCTTTCTCTGCTTTCTTCGGTTGAGAGTGAATTTCTGTT